AGGAGTGGTTAAGGTTAAGGGATGGCAGACGGGCTGTTTCTCTTGGCAGTTGCTCTGAGCGTTGGGATTTAGCTTCAGTCTGGAGGGGAAAGTGTATGCGGGTGAGAATGTGCTTGATGTCTGGTAAAGGTTTGATTCTCTAAATGTGTTGGAGTGGAATTTCTCTGCAGGCATATGTGTGTTTTTACTTACGTAGAAAAGGTGTTTCTTCTTTGTTTATGTGTCCATGTGCGTTTCTGTGTGTCCGTGCTGATTTATAGCCTCAGAGCGGCGGGCTGACCTCCTCGATGTGTTGTTTGGTTTCTGTGGTCAGGTTGGAGTTTGCCCATGCGCTGGGACTGCGAGAGCTGGCTGGCAGAGGGACCGCTGCCTGGCTCAGAGCTCAGGGGTGACTGTGTAAATATGTTGTGAAAGTAGCTCGCCTTAAAACACAGCCAGAGCTCGGACCTCCCAGAGTCTTATCCTGCTTTGTGGGGCCCTCCTACCCACTTCTTTCCTCTGCTGACATATGATCCAGAAACTAAACTTGAGTTTTTCTCCTTTTAAGCTGTTGTCTTCGCCTTGTGAGGGGCGTAAAAGGTAAACACAGCCATTATCAGGTGTCCCTGGGGATATGAAGAATTTTTACGGGCATTGATTTGTGCTGTTTAGTTTATGCTATGCTACTCTGGGTCAAGAAAGTGTGACCCCCCCAAAAAGGATCTACAGGGGGTCTCCTGACATCACCTACTGTAAAAACTTCCCTCTCATCAAAAAGGCCTTTGTTAAGTTCCTTTCACCTCATGTTTAAACTATGTGTGTGTGTATAAGAAAGAGGCAGGCAGTTCATTTAATACGTTTTAGCAGCTTATATCACACCATTCATCCATCTTGTGGGGATTTTGAAACCGCATTAATATTGCTTTTCGTCCCATCCATCATATATTTTTATTCACAAGAGTGCACACGATGAACTCTGTCCACCCTGGTCCCTGCATGGTTGTGGGTCAGGTACAGATCATGCACATTAGAGCACTCTCCTGCCCCCACCTGGACACAGCCAGAACACCCAGCAAGGATATGTGTGTGTGTGTGTGTGTGTGTGTGTGTGTGTGTGTGTGTGTGTGTGTGTGTGTGTGTGTGTGTGTGTGTGTGTGTGTGTGTGTGTGGGCCGAGCAGGGTGAGGTTCGGGAATGAAAGGAAAACATTTAATGTGACATTTGAGTATTGAAACAAAGAACGAATAGATAAATCTGCACATTTTTGAGTGTTATCGATCAGTCTTTGTTGTGCTTCTGCACTAATCTAATCTGCAGCCCTGGACTCCATCAGGGCTGCACAAGTGTCTTCAACAGTGCCTTTAACACAAAAGTATGTGAAGTGAGCTCGGCCGTTGCTCACAGCCACAGGCAATGACTTTTCCAGCAGAGCGTTGGCCGGGAGAAGAGTCGTATTTCAGCGGAGTCCTGGGAGACGCTGACAGCAGCAACCCTGTTATTGTCTGAAACTCTGCCTTAAGCACCACTCTGATGCGCCACATGATGCTCCAGAGAGAAAAATGTCGCTGTCCCTTCTCAAATATGAAAGCTGATTGCATGTCTTTTGTGGTTCCCCCAGGGGTCTGCGTGTGATTGTGTAATTCCAGGGTGTGCTCTGTTTGGGTGTGGGATCAGTGGTTGTTGCGACTGTCGCTGTATTTAATCATTTTTACAATATATTTCAGTTCATCTCACGCATCAGGTCCGTTGATGTGACCTAAAATGATGAATGAGCTATAATTTAGCTCTTTTTAAGTGTTGAGTTTACCAATCAGTGTTATCACATTCTCTGACTCTGCACACGCATTACTTGCAGTTCGGGTTCCTGTCATCAAAATATAGAGTAGCAGCCCCTCATATATAGTAAAGGAGAAGCTTCTCATGCTTTAATGTACTGCTGGAGTGAGTTCACAGATCAGCGCCAGAATACAAAATGAGAGATGTGGCTCTATCATACAGCTGGAGCGCAGTATAGGAATATATACTGCTTCCCTACATCTGTAAAGCAGCAGCTTATATAACGTTTGGCACGAGACTCTATCGAATGATGTGTGGGGAAAGAGCAGCTCAAAGAAAGGAAACCAGAACCAGATTCAGTGGTGGTCACGGTGGATCAGGATTCTGACAATAGTTTTACTGTGAAGGTGCAGCTTCATGGGAACGTGTGTACTCTATGAACTTTACACATTAAACTGTTTTGTGTATAGGAAATAAGCGTTAATCTCTTTGTGATGTAGTTGATAGAATATATTAATTTTTTCATGATTTTTTTAATATGCTTTCAAAAGCTATTTTCAATAATAGTATTTGTATGTGTGTACTATTGGGCCTCATGTTGGGCTTTGAGCAGATTGAAATAAACGGGTGTGAAGGTGTCAGCTTTACAAGGCAGGGAGGGTCTATGAAGTTGCATCATGGGAGTCTTTGGAGCTTTACTCATACTAAGGAGTAGAAGTGAGGACATTATTTCAAAATGTTCCAATCTAAGTGTTATTTTGAGTTGCTAGAATGCTGAAAAATGTTGGTTTTGACTTTCCTTTGTCTATCCATCTGCATTTGGTTTTATTCTCAGCTCCTGGCCGTCCAGGCCTTTTTAACACAAATAAAACTGCAGCTGGCTTGAACTGTTGGTGTTGAATGATCCACGTAGCCCAGGTCCACATTCCCTACCCAGCTTCTTCTCATCCCTTCTTCCCTTTTTGCCTTTGGCTATAGAGTTAGTAATATCAAAAGCAGCCATCAGATGTTCAAGCCTCAGTAAGATCCTTATAGGAGCAGACTTTTCTCTAGGCAGTGCACACGCCTCCTCCACTTTGTACATGTCACACTTCTTTAAACTGCTCTCGGTGCTGCGAGGATGTTCTCATTAATGCCAAGGTGTATGACTAATTATCTCGTCTTGGTACATTTAGGATCTCTCCTTCAGGAACCTGACATTCCTCTGGCTGCTCTGGGAGCTGTAAAAAAGGAGTTTAGAGGAAAAGAAAGTTGAAGAATGACATATGAATAGGAAAGCAGTTGCAGGGCTGTTTTGTTCTACAGAGGTCTTATTCCTTATTGAATGTGACCTCATTTCAAACACTGAATTCCCATCATCCCCTTTCGGTGCAGCTGTTACACGCAGTCCTGCCAGGATAAGGGAGACTGATACGGAGTAAAGGCTCCTAACAGATTCCGACTTTAGCTAAGAGGAAGCCATTTGAATGTTTCCTGGGAGCTCTTATAGCTCAGAGGCTTGTGTAATGGCTCCTTTAGGCTTTCTTTCTGAGGAGGTTTGGGGATTTGTTTGCCTGCAACCTGCATAAACCCTTCTAATATTATGAGCCAAGGAATGGAGCATCAGAGTGTTCTGCTAGCGTTATTAAAGTATCTGAGACGGGGAGTTCTGTGTGGTATGTTGGACTGTCACTGGTTACACCACAAATGCAATCCATTTCAGTTTGTCAGACAAGACAGATACCCATGGAGAATTTAAGTATGAAAGACATGTTGAGAGGTTTCAGATTTGGTCATAATTGAAAACACTTCCTTCTCTGTGGTCCGCTCTCATGGTTGCATCACTTCATGATTCCCACACCCCCTCGAAAATGTATTTGTTTCAGCTGAGTTTGGTTTGATTGATGAGGAATGACATCACCGCGTTTGGAAGTGTGATCGGACATGTTTGGATAGACACAGTACAGCGTTTTGGTGCCATATGCATTCTGTGGCCCAGAGAAACATTTGGCAAACACACACACCCGGCTCCCTGTGTAGCCCGGGGATCCTTCTGAGCCTTTCCTTTTTTCCCTCTTGTTCTGTCTTGCTCTTTTCTCTATCAATCTTTGTCTCTTCTTCTCTTTCTTTAAATCTCTCACTTCTGCTACTGTTCCTCCCCCCCTTCACCTCAACCCAGTTTATGCACACAACCCCCTTTAAATCAGATCAGGTGAGCTACCTATACCTGCAGGTCTGCTCATGTCTCCGTGCCCCATGTGCTAAGTTCATCCATTCATCTTACATGATAAGCTTAAAGGCTAAATCACTCATGTCCTCAAATCTGGGGTGGTTTTTAAATACACTTTTCATAATACTGTTCATCATTCAGTTTGAGACCAGTAGTTGATAGTTACAAAGTACATTTACTCAAATACTGTGCTTATTTGAGTTACTTTGCTTAAGTGTTTGCATTTCCTTCTACCTTATACTTCTACATCTTGAAGGCAGATATTTCACTTTTTACTTCATTGACTTGAAAGCTTTAGTTTGAAGATTCAGATTTATAATACAGCTTATCAAAAATAAAATTATAAATGTATTATGTATTATTACAGGGTAAGATACAACTTAATTGGTGCCTTGGTGACATTTACAAGCTATCCAACAGTAAAGGAAAAAGTGATATATTATTCAATATTTTCAAATGGGCCATTGTGGAGAATGTGTAATTTAAACTTTTATACTTTAAGTTTGTTGAAGTTAACACTTTTTACTTTTACTTAAGTCACATTTTGAATGTATGTCTTTTGGTTGGAATAGAATATTTTTGAACTATTACTACTATAGCTTAGTATCTTGTTAAAGACTGACCTCGTGTGTGTGTTAGTGTGAGCCTGTGGTTGTGTGTTTGTTTGTGTGATCGTCTGCAGCTGCATAAAGTCCTTTGTTCCATGTTCTCTTGAAACTCAACTCTGTTGTCCATGAGCTTTTTGTCTTAAAACTCTTGTGCTCATCTCTGATGTAAAACGACACTCAGTGATGAA